AAAATTCTGCTGTGTACTGTTGTTGTCCATTCTTAATTTGGCCGCTAATTTATGGCAGACAGGATACCAATGTTGCTGGGTGAACTGTTCCAGGTGCAGTCTCATATGCATTCACAAAGTCTAATGTTCTACTCAGCAAACTCATCTGACCACAGTTATGATACCAAAGTAATTTTCTCTTGTGTGAGGCATTAGTCAATTTAGGAAATACCAAGTGTAAAATTTCAAGGCAATATGGTTCAGAAACTATTCATTTGGGGGTGGGGGGGTCGGAATTATTAGTTGTGTGTACCGTTTTCACTCTTTGCACCCTTAGCACTCTTCAGATTGATGCACAACACAACAGTGTCCAAAAATAATTGAGAAAATAACTAAGACTTGCAAAGCTTCCAGGGATAATAAAAATTTACCACTGTAAACAGGGAAAAGGCTTTACAGATTTTACAGGTAGCTTCTTTAAAGGTACAACTTTCTATGATGTTCAAACAAGATTATCAAGTTGTCAACTACGTATTGTAATATAACAATAATAATAATAATAATATTAACAACTTTATTTAAGGAGGGTAACACAACTATGTGTAATTAATTCAACTGATGAACTGGTGGCCCTCGATCCTAAAAGTATCACGATTAGAGTTAATGTGTAAAAATATGTAAAATGAATTCAAGGATTATAAAACAGGTCTATAAGAATGGAAGATAAAAACTGTATAAAATAAAATAAGCTGCTTGGGTTGGGTTAACATAAAATATGCCACTTGGGTTGCCTCAGTTGAAACAGGGCAGGTGAGATTTAATTTAGTATTGCGTTTGGGCTAAAATGTTCTTCTTCATTGTAGCTCGTTAGAAAATGTCTGAAACGCCTTTCTGAAAGAAGCAACTGTTGTCACCTCTTTTTTTAGGTTAGTAGGTAGCTGGTTCCAGCCTTGTTGCAGATACGCTAAAGGTCCTCCCTCCCTCAGTTTCGCAACTGAAACGAGGGCAGATGAGATTTAATTTACCATAACAACCAGTTTATAAGTGTAGGTCTACATTAAATGTAAGTATATCATACATATATGTAGGACAGCTTCCTTGCAAACACTTAAAAACTAAAACACTCTTATTTATTTTTCCTCCCTGAATTCATACTCCTCTTTTATCACTTTACATTCCTGCAAAAGTCCACAAGCCTCTGATACGTCATTAGACCATGGACAGAAATGCACAGCCATTGGTCTCATCACCAGGAGAGTATGAGCTAGTTGTATTCTCAATGCAGGTTCCTGGGTTGACTGTGAGTGGGAGGTTTCTGCTGTTTGACAGGTCTTCATTCCCAGGGCATCTACTATGTATTTGGCATTTGGTGTCTTTAGGATGGAAACACGTACAATGATTGGATAATCTGTGAAGTCAGAGGCAATTTACTGCTTGTTGCATGCAACAGTGATCCGAGTGAGCTGGCTTCTCATTTTTAGAAAAGAAAGACAACTTCCAGTTTGAACCTTCTCCAACTCTATCTGATAAAAGTACTTTAAGTCCAGACTGATAATGACAAAAATACCGTCCTAAGGGCCCAGACATCCACAGACTTTAGGTATAGTAAAGACAGAGCTGATCTATTCTGGCAGAAGATTTCTGGTGCACAATAAGCAGGCATTCCACAGACAAGGGTTGTTTGTAACCATGTGACACATTGTTTGTTTGATCAATCAGACTGGCCTTCTCCTAAATGAGGACGCTTGCAACTTATTGGCCTAGTTTGAAAAGCCTGCTCAATTTCATGGCTGTCTTTTTAAGGAGCAGTAATGCTGGTTGGAAACAGTATATTGTTAGGCTTTATATCACAGTGGATGATCCCAAGATCATGCAAATATGCAAGCTCTGCTGATGTTTCAATGGAGATGTTTTCTTGAAGTTGAGATTGGTCGATTGCCTCATTATTGTGAATATGTCGTAAAAGTTGGTCCAGACTGCTAACAATTTCTAAACTGCTGAAGGGAGTGAAGTAAAACAAATATACAAGCATCATTGCACAGGGTTCCATGCACACAACTTTGAACTTAACAATATGTTCACCTTTATTCCCATGGAGAATTTTGCTTCTTTGAGAAAGAGATGCTTTCCTTCTCATCCATACCTAATAGCTTCTTGATTATCACCTTCTCAGAATTGTTTCTGGCCATATAAACCAAACCACAGGATCTTCGACTGATAGCCTCTTCCTTGCCTTGCAACTGCTCCCATGCGATTGATGGTAAACCATGACAATCCAGAGATCTGTCTGAATTAT